AAAAAAAGACATTGTCAAAAAAAAAGTCCTTATGTCATTAGTCTGGTAATTCTACAAAAGTGATTGGCATAACTCTAATTAAGGTTGCTCATTATAGTTCACTATATGCTTGTTTTGGATTCGCATATATCTAAAAGTCTCCAAATTATTCCTTATTAGTGTCTATGCTAGACTCGATCTTCACACATTACAGGTTACAAACGAAAAGCATTCAATTTAAGTGAAAGTATTTCGTTTACCATTGCGAAAGTTACCATCTCACGAGAGTATAAGTACTTTACTTTCTCCAATAAAGAAAAAATCTCGAATATAAAAGCTATAATGATATGAATGTGTCGTGTGTGAATTAGAGAACATAACACCACAACCTCTACCTTAAATGACCCATAATTATTAAGACTAATATATATAACAAAATAATAAGAATAACATTGAATAAATAACATAATTAAAATGCATATGTAATCGAAACTATTTTTTATTAAAAAAATTAAGGAAATTAAAGTTAAATATAGATTAAGACCTTTAAATTAAGACTAAGCATAATACATAATTAATTTTTTGATCTAACTCTCAAAAAGGTTCTCAATGGATTCGTAAAGTTATCATAACAATTTTGTTTGAAAACTCGACTACTAGATGATTTTATAAAATAGAAAGAGTTGCCACCAATCATTTTTTATTAGATGTGATTGGCTACCCAAAAATACTTTACTTTTTTTATGCTATCTTAAAACTAATTAAAATCTATTAAAAAGATAATTTTAGGTATACAAAAACAATTTGGGTTCGATGGTATAGTTATGCATGAAGAAATATTAGCACCCACACGGTACCCTTTTAAAAAATGATACAATTAATCATGTATTATCCTTTAATTTTGATAAAAATGTCTTAATTTTGATATTTAAAAATAATTTCTTTAACTCCCTTTTATTGTCATAAATTTATTTCATTCATATTTTTGACAATAATTTTCTTTGTTTTCTTTTTTTCTTAAAGAAACATTGTTGTCAATTTTATTTGAAAAAATAAATTAGAACCTTATTATTAAAAAAAACTCTTAAAATGTCCAAATACATTGATAATATTATAAGAAACTTTTTCACCTAAGTATTTTTTAGAAATTATTACTCGAATTACCTTAAAATCCCATCCTTAGAAGTTTGTGTTTACTTTTTCATAATCAAGTAATGTCAATGAGATGCAAGTATTGAAATACAATATTCATGCATAAATATTAACACTTTATTTGTTATTTATTTATTTATTATTTTCATTTTATTTATCATTTTGTAAAAGGTTTACTTGTTATTATTTTAAAATTTTTTATGTAGAAAAAAAAACTTTTTTTATATTGAAAAATTTTTATAAATATTTCAATACGCTATTGTGATTTAAAAAAAATCTTCATACCTAGATATTTCTTAAGAATCATTATATAGATTTTCTTATAATCTCATAATCGAAAATTTACTTTATTTTTATTTTTGTGAATACACATGATACATGTACATGTAAACACCTAAGATCAAATATAGATATGCACGTAATTAAGATGAAATAAACAAACCAACAAAAATAACTAAAAAAATTACCAAACTATTATATTAGACCCAATCAAGAAAAAAGCCCACAATTGTTCAAGCCTAATCTGGAGTAGGCCAATGTTGGATTTGGTCTAGGGTGAGCTCAGATCTAGAATAGGTTGTGGGTTAGCCAACAGGCTTAGTGGCAAGTGTGGGTTGCATGTTGGGTCACAAGTTAGTGTGGATTTTACTCTTTTTTTTTTTACTTTAAATGCTAACTTGTTTTTTTACTTCATTTTTTCTATTATTTTCTCTAAAAAAAAGATTATATTTACAAAACAAACACTTATAACTAGCAACCCTTAAACTTAAAAATTGGTGTTGGTCATAAAAAACCATCATCCCAACAACCGTTCATTGCCAAAAACCTTTTAGCATCAATATTTCATCATTTACTCATTTTGCTTTTTTCATTTTTGCTCCGAGCTTCGATTTTCCTAAATCTCCACCTAAAACCCTAGATCTAGGCTTAAAGCCGTAAGCTTTGAACCCCAAAAACTCTTCTTCCACTGCTCAAAACACCACCAACTTTCACAATGTTTTTATTCTACCCAAGGCCTTCTCATTCTTTAAAAATCAAGCTTCAAAACCCTTCAAAGCAAACCAAGCCCAAAATCTCGCTTTTGGTGTTTGTAATTTTTTTTTTATTTTTATCCTGCTGTTGTTCCTCAAGGATGTGGCTTTTTTTGCTTTGTTGTGTATTTTTTTGTGACTTTTAGTGGTTTTTGGTTGCTACAAAAAAAGAGAAAAGATGGGTGTTTAATTTTTTTCTTGTAAAGGTGGTCATAGTTAGAGGTGGTTTATATATATATTTTTTAGTAATTCCCCTTCCCTTTTGTCTTTTATGGTGCTCGTGGGAGGTGAGATGGGGTTGAGTTTTAGGTAAGTATGGTTGGTTTGCAATGAGGTGTTATTTAGGTTTTTGAATGATATTGTTTAAGGCGATGGTAGTAAAAGAACTATGTAAAAGCTATTTGGGTGGTTTTGTTGTTGAAGATGGTAGCAATAGGTAATGGTTTTGATGATGGTGTTTGAATGCTAGAGGTAATGGTAACTTGGAAGAATTTTGGCTTCTCAAAATTGTCTCTCTAAGATTTGAAATCATTAATTTAAATATCAAAGCACAAACACTAAAAATACCTTTAACTTTAACTTTTATCCTTGATCGATTTATGATCTCTTATAATTTTAGGTCTTTGTGCTTCTTATTGAAGTGGGTAGCAATAGCAATTATTTTAACTTTTTTTTCCTACAAAATATATGACAAAAACACAAAATTTTTCACTCCATTTTTCATTGTGGTAAAAGAAAATCATAGGGTTAAGAAAGAAGTTAAAAAAAACCTAAAATATATATAAAAAAGGTAAACTTTAGAAATATACTTTGTGATTAAGGCCAAATGAAAGTGCCCCTGAGTTTTAAAACATGAAACTTAACTACCTTATGATTTGTTTTATTGTTTTTTTACCTAAAATTGTTACTTTTTTTTTCTTTTTATTTTTCCTTATTTTTCATCTGAATTCATCCTTTTTCTTAAAATTCATACTCTCTCTAAAAAAATCATTTTTCTTTCTAAACCTAAATCATTCTACAAATAGCAATTTTCAAAAAACTCTTCACACCACCACCATTACTATTACAAATTCACATCACCACCAGACTTTATTTTTTAACTTTCTTCATGAAAGAGTCAAAGTCCTAGTTTTATAATAAGAAAGAATAACCTTCTTTCAACATATAGGACTCTTAGGCCTTTTTAGCCTCCATCTCCTAAATAATCCAGAAATGAAAGACTTTTTTCTACATCCCATTTAGCTACTTTTAATCATGGCATAAGGATTGTTCGGCATCGTAACGGTTCTATAGGCTATCAAAAGCATTCATACAAAATAACCTATGACATTATACAACCTGAAGAAGTGCCTATTATGGCGAAACACTATATTGATTCTAGTAAGGGGAAATATGAATCAGTGGGAAAAAATGAGGTTTTTATTTATAATTAGAAAAAGATTTTAACAGTGGAAAGCAAATCTTTCATCAAACATCTTATTGATGATTATATGAGTTCTAATTCAAGTGGTTCATTGGAATTTAAAAAAATTGAACCAAGAGTTTATCATATTTTTTCAAATAATATGTACACTAGCACGCTTTATGCTAAAGCCAAACAAAGTTTCACCAATAAAAAAGTTAGTGAATGTGCAAGCAATGTGAAAAAGTCTTAGTGAAAGTGTTGAAGTGAGTAGGAAGACAAGCATCTATAAAAAGAGTACTGACAATGATGCTAGTAATAAAAGCAGCTCTAATTGTTTAAGCAATGCCATCTACAAACATCACAAAGCAAATGATATAAAATGGGAAGCAATTCAAGTTATCAGATCTCGAAAAGGAATCTTGAACTTTAAGCACTTTAAGGTGTCGAGGAGATTGGGATACGAGGATATAGGTAGTGCTTATCTATCATAATTGACTTAAATGGTTATGGTGGTGTAGAGATTTTAGTGATTTAAAGTTGTTGTTTGTGAATCGATCTGTGTTTAGAAAGAGAAAATAAATTTTATGAAAAAAATATGAATTTAGATAAAAAATTAAAAAATATATAAAATAATGATTTTAATTAAAAATAATTAAATAAATAATTAAATATCATTTTTTAAATTTTAAAAGACACTTTTATTTTGACTTTAATCACAAAATATATTTATGAAATTAATCGTTAAAAAAAAGTAAAAGACAAGTGAATGAACATAGATATCGCATGAGACACAAAACTAAGACACGATCGCTTGTACAGAACCGGGGCAAAAGATTTTTGTCTTAAAAAAATGATGTATAAGAAGCCAAATTATAGACACTGCATCCTCAACACGCGGCGAAGCGAACGCTCACGGCCCCGACACTACTCCCTTCCTCCCTCGCACTTTTTTTTTGTTTCCTTTTCTCTCTTACTATGACTACAAGTTAGCTTATATATAGGAACATAAAAGAAAAAAATATCTTTTGCTCGTAATTCAGTTATTATTCGTTTCGTTCTTTTGTTTTTGGGCAAACAAAAAAAAAATCCTGTGGGATCGTGGGGGGTTTCATTTAATAAATAAAAAACTAAATTAAGTAGATTGCAAAGTTGTCCAGTAGAATTCGATGGAGGTCGATGCGTTTCGTTTTTCTGTCTTTGAAGTGAATGGCGGATGCTGCATTTTGATTTTTCTTTTCTTTTATAAAAGAATATGTATGTATTTTGGTTTTTAGTTAATTTTTAATTATTATTATTGGAGATGCAGAGTGCTTAAGAAAAAAAAAGGATAGTAGAAAATTTCAGGAAAGATTTGTTTTGGAAAGATTTTCGTTTGGGTACATATAAAGGCGAAGATTTTGTATGAAAAAAGCGAATAAACACGGAAAAGCAGAATGTGGGATTTGGCGCCGTCTTCTTCTTCAACCAATCTCCGTCGTTTCCTCCACTGCGTCACTCCCAATCCTCCTTCTTCGTGCCTTCCCAAGGTATCTCTTTCTTTTTTTTTTTTTCCTCCCAATTTATTTCTTAATGTTAAGATTATAATGCATTGGCTGTAGCTTTTGATTTTTGTTGTGTGGTAAGGAAAATTATTCATGAATTATCTCTGCCATTAACAGCAGCTCACGTTTTTATTTTATTTTATTTATTTTTTGGATTATGTATAAGGCTTAAAATTGGAATTTTTATTGAATTATTGAATTATGAAAGGGATGGATGGATACTGGATATGGGGATTGTGGGGCTGACGAGACCCTGTTTTCCATTGGACTCTGTATTCTGAGGCCCACTTTTCTGATAAAATTCAGCCAAATCCTCGAATATTCTTTTCTTATTCTTTTGTGTTTATTATTCAAAGTTTATGAGTTTATTGTTACGTATGCTTATACTATGTGTATGTTTCTAATTTCAATGCAAAAAGGCATCTGCATCTCATTCAAAAACAATACCGGAAGCATTCATACTTTATGTTCACATATTTTGTGATTAAAATCAATGCATCGTATATGGTGATTCTAAATTATTAGCAATAATGGAGCCAGGGTGTGAGGGTAGGCCATGGCTCCCAATGACTTTTCCATATCCTATTTTAGCCCATAGATGTTTTTGTTAAATTTTTTTTCTAATTTTCTTTACTCCCCCCCTTGACTTTTCAGAATTTTATTTAGGCCTACGAAAGTTTTCTTAGTTTTCTTACTTATTTTTACTTGCCCCCTTCATTTTCTCCAATTCTGTATATATTAATCGTTTTTACTCAATTCTTGAATAATTGCTTTTCAGCTTTGAATTCAATGATTTTATGGTAAAGTTTTGCTTTTATGAATTCATTTGTTCATGTTCTACATTATGCAAAGATTTCCCAAATAAATGTGTACAATACACACTTAACTTTGAAATAATTTCTTGAATTATATTTTTTTGTTTAGAATTAATAAAAAAGACAACATGTACAATGACTTGCTTTGAGTCTATGCTATGCATAAGAAATATGAACCTACTATAATATTCTGAATATTTAATTATGTACAAATAATTGTGCATATAAATAAATTTCATTATACATAAAATCAACAAAATCAAAAAATTGTTAATTTAGTTATTAGGTTCTAATGATTAAAATTTTTAATCATAGTTTTCTTATAAAGAAATTGAAAAAACAAATTTAAAAGCTTAAATACTAATCTTATACAAAAACTTTGATAAAACTTGGTTTACAACTATTAAAAACAACCAAGTACTGAATGTTTTGTATTTAAATAACAGAATAATATTCATAAAAAAATACAATAATATTTATATTTACAATTTTTTATTGTTGCCCCTTGATTTGGGATTCTTGCTCCATACCTGCTTATTAGGATTAGGAAATGATATAGCATACATGCGTGGTACTTGAAATCACAGGATAGTTGCCTTAAGAAATAAGCCTAAAACTTACTCTTTTTTTTTTTTTCAAGAATAAAACTTAGCTTAATTATTTCATTAAGTCAAAATAGAGAAATGGCTCTCCTTAAGTCTCTAGGTAGTCATATATGGTTACCATATACATACTTTTAACATTGATTAGGAAATCAAAAGCAAAAGGCACATTCTTTGAAAATGGAAAATATCCCTTATTTACCAATTTTTACTACTGTAAGACAAAAGAAAAAAAAAAACCAAATTACAAGATTATCCATACAAAAAGGTGGTAAATAAAAGATAATAGCCTTTTATTGGCTGTTTGATAAATGTGCAAAAAAAAAAGACTTTTGCTATGATTTGGATGTTCTATACGTATACTGTTTGTTTGACTGCATTACTTCTGACCACTTGTTGTACAAGTTTTCCTTGTTTGAAAGCAGGAAAACTCAAACAAGGAAAACTGCAAAAATCTCTTTTAATTTTGTTTCCTTTTTATTTTCTTTTTCCTATCATTGCAAAATTTGGTGAAAGATGGATGATAGCTTTTAGGATGTTTCTTGGACTTGAAGGCAACCAATAACTACAGCAATGGTTTCATTTTCTGGGCACAATGGCATATGGCTGGAACCCTTAAGATCTGTACCCCAACCTAACCCACCCTTGCCACACGAGCTCGGCCCAAGTGGCATTTAAAGCAATGATTTACATTGTAATTTTTGCTTCATTTTCTTCTAAATACTTTCTTTTTTTTAATTTGTCAAGGTCAGAGACTTATTTGTTTTAATATTGTTTGGTATACGAATTTCAGACTTTTTATTCTTTATAATATCATTTTTAAGTTTATTAGTTGGTTTCTTTGTCTATTAATGTTAAGATGCATGTGCCCGCTCCCTTCAATTAATTATATCTTTTCAATGAACTTAAGATTTGAGAAACTCATTTCTGTCTGGTTTTATATTCAATTTAGTTCTGTTTGATTTTGGATTTCGGTATATGGAAAGGCAATCATTTAATTTCTAATAATTTCCATGTATGAGGCTTTCCAAAATATACACATAGTAATCAATGCAAAAGTTGATAGATAAGATATAGTAGTCTTTTAGAATAATGGTCAGTTTTAGGAACAATATATTTTTATTTTCCGTTAGCTCAAGGAGAGGTGCTAATTTTTTTGCTTTAGCAACTTTTTTTACAATGTAGTTGAAGTTGTTTTATGAGGCTTATATATGTACTTCAAATGTTGGATATGGTTACAATCTATTTCTTTATAATTAAACATCATTTGTATAACATCCTGTTAAATGAGTTGCACATGTGGTAAGGAAGTTGTGATGGATTAACAGTTTGAAGTGGTTCCTGCCATGATTCAATGGCAGCCTTTACATTTTTTTACTGTACTAACTTATTGTTAAGACAAATTTATTAGTTGGGTCTTTATCATGTGGTGAAGCTTTTAAGTTTTGTGGATTCTCTAAACTAGGTACTGAACAAGAGGCTTAGATTTAAATCTTGGTATCCATGTTAATAAATAAAAGCTGTGACATAGTTTGGAAAGCAATGGAACTGATTGTGAAACCAAACTAGAGAACTTGCGCATGCATATATGATTGTAGTTAGACTTTTACCAGTTTGGATGCAAACCTATCTGCTTAAAGTTTTAAATTAGATTGGTTCTCTAACACATGTATAATGCTTCTCCATTTTTGAAGATATCTGTCGCCCTCCTTTTGAGGTTAAATATAGGAACTGGTTTTACTATATTGGTCACATGTGACAGTCAATTCCCTTTTTGCTCTTTTGTTCAATCCAGGGAATTTTCAATTTGTTTGTAAGCAATTATTGTCTAATTATCTTTCTCTATTTATTCATTTACTTGCGTCAATTTTGTTTTTCAGAGCTGTATTGGTGATCTGAACAGTCTATGGCAACCTGCTGATAAGGACAATATTGAATACTATTCATTGGCAGATCTCTGGAATTGCTATGAAGAATGGAGTGCATATGGTGTTGCGACCCAAGTGGTAAAGGGCTCTGGTGAGAGCATTACTCAATACTTTGCCCCTTACCTGTCCGGGATTCAGATTTATACAGACAAATGCGCACCAGTTTCCAGGTTTTGAATAATTCCTTACTTTGTTTTCTGTGTCAAAGAATGTCACCTATTATTTGTTGCCTATGTTTAATGGCAACGAAGTAGACTAATCCACTTTCTTTGTAGAAGCCAGAAGGAAGATAGTGATGTACTAGAAGTTGAAAGTGATTCTTGGAGTGATGACAGTGGGAGTGATAAGCTGTCTAGGTCTCTTACCAACAACTCCAGCAGGACATGGGATGCTATTTCTGAGGATTCAAATTTTGATCAGGATAGTTCTTTGTCAATGCGGGATAAATTGGGTTACCTTTATTTAGAGTACTTAGAGAGATCCTCTCCTTACTTTAGGGTTCCACTTATGGATAAAGTAAGTTTTTTCCATCTGTTACTATATATGACTTTAGAACTTATGGGTATCTTTATTATGTCAGAATAAAGTCAGATGTCACAACCAAAAACAAAAGTGAATTAAGTTTATTATTCCTTCATTTGCTTTTCAGTATATTTATGACCATATGATAGGTGCATGCATCCCACGATTAAATGAACTGGGTTGAGTCCTCTGTTACCCACAAATTTTTCTTTATCAAAAAAGTAACTATTCTGATTGTTTGATCAGATAACTGAATTAGCTCGGAGCCATCCTGGACTAATGACACTAAAGAGTCTTGATCTTTCACCAGCAAGTTGGATGGCTGTAGCTTGGTAAGCTTTTTGCATTTCATGTTAGAGGTTTTCTTTGTTATAGTATCTACTCATTACCTATCATAAATGAATTATCCAATTTAAGCCACGGCAAAACATTATTGACTCACTTAGGTCTGCATCTATCCGGCTGTGGCTGCTTGTAGACATATGTACAATTCTACCTACATAGACATCTAAGCCCTTGCGTGCTGTTTGATATGTATCTGACACATCTAGACATCAAAAACACTAAAAAGAAATCAGACATGGTCAAAACACAATTAAGATACATCAAGACATGGCTGTACGCTAGGTGAAGGTTTTTTTTTTTTTTTGTCATTTCCCTCTCAAATCTAGAATCAACCATAAGCAAAATCCCAAATCCAAAGGAAGTCAAGCTACAAATCCAAAATTGAAGAGAAGATAATAAAGAGAGCTGAAAATTGCTGGAAATCCAAAAAGAAAGAGAAGATGACAGAGAGAACACAACAAGAAGAGAGTTAAATGATGATTTTAACTTATATCAAATATTCTTATATAATAATATAAAATAAATAAGAAAAGAGAAGAGATAGGTAGATGACTTAGGGTGTTGGTGGACTGACGAGAGAAAGAAGGTGGATGGGCCAGTCAAAGAGACCAAATATAAAAGGAGTTCACCAAGCAATAATTTAGAGCTTTTAAAGTTAGAGTTAAATGATGATTGAGTGCCTTTGAGGCTTTGAGTTTGAGCTATTTGGGCCCTAATAGGTTTTTAAAGGTTCAGGTTTTTAAACTCAAAAACTGATTTTAAAAAATTGGAAAACCTATTTGTATATTAATATTTGATTGAAAGGTATGAATTTTACATTTTTATTGTATATTATTATATAAAAAACATTTTTATTGTTGTGTCTTGTTGAACTAGTTTCATAATTGTTTTAGAATTGTGATGTTACAGAGTTTGTCGTGTCATACCGCTATTATGAGTCTGTGCCCGTACTTCCAAGATAGACAAGTAAATCAGAATAATATGATGGCAGGCCACTTCCCTTTACCTGAAAATAGTAGGATTCAAGGAAACAATACTATATGCAGATTTCTAAAATAAATTAAAAAAAAAAAACAAATTTTGAGCTTGTAAATGAATGGAACAGAATATACCAAAAAACATAATGCTATGAGATTTTTCTTTTTGTGTGTATGAATGGAACAGATTTTATTTGTTTCCTTTTTGGGTAAAAATTGGATTACTTTGTTTTTTTTGAGGAGAGAGAAACTTAAGCCCTAGAAAAAGGGTATAGACAGATGTTGAATGAGAAAGTAGGTAACTTAACATTTCTTTCTTTATTTGCTGATAATCTAGGGGTTACTTTCCCTAGAACTTTTAGTTGTAACTCAAAATCTTTTAGTTCTTAGTTTAATTTGTATCCATTTGTCATCAACGTAAAAGAAAAAACTTAAAAAGGTTGAATGCATAACAAAGGTTATAAATGGATGTACAATTTTTTCTTTTACATGTGTGTGTAGTAGTCGGGCAGCTTGAGTTGGTTTAGGGTCAAGTCATTTTGAGTCATTGGTCTTATAGGGTCATATATGGTTTTAGGTTGCTCAATTATAGAGTTATTTCAGATCATTTTCAGTCAAATCAAGTAGTGTTCGAGTTTCCTCACAAGTAGGGTTATTTTGAATCAATGGGCATTTTGCGTCATCTTGAGATGTTTTTTAGTAATTTATATATAAATTATATTTTATATATATATATATATATATAATGGCATTGTTTACATAAAAGAACTTACATTTAACGATAAATAAATTCTCAAATAAATTTTATGCTATAAAAATTAATCTGAAAATTATGTTAGTTACTCAAATAATGAGTTGAAACTAAAACGAACATAAAAAACTGTACAAGTATCTTAACTTACACGAAGTTCAATCACTATCATTGTTTCTCTCTTTCATGGGATTTTAATACAATTATTTCTTAAATAATTAAATCCATTTGGACCCATATACATCTTAAAATTTTAATTTTTTATGTGTTTGCATTTATATTTAATTGTTTTTACTTTTTAAATTTGGGTTGTGCACCATTCAAGTAAATTGGATTAACCCAGGTTTCTAATCAATTTGAGGATTGGAGTTACAACAAATGTCTAGTCATTTCAGGTTTCGGGTTACTTTAAGTCAAGTTAGATATCAAGTTACTTTACTTTCAGGATTTTTTGGGATTGGGTTGTCTTAATCTGGGTCCATTCAAGTTCGGTTTAAGCTATTTTACTATGTTGTTGGGTTATAGTTGATTTCTATTTCGGGTGGGTTGAGTTAGGTTCTTTGGGTCAGATTTTTTAACCCCCCCCCCCCCCCCCCACACACACACACACACACACGCGCACACATGTTTTTCTGCTTTTTAGGTGTAAGTTATGATCATCATGGTATTTTGTTGTTAGCAGGTATCCTATCTATCATATTCCCTTTCAGAGAAACAAGAAGGACTTGGCAGCTTGCTTCCTAACGTATCACACACTATCCTTGTCTTTCCAAGGTGTCATTCTCTCTAACCTCAGTCTTTATGAACTTCATGCAGAGTTATGTGGCATTTTGATCTAGAATGTGTATGTTAGTTTTTAATTTAGCATATTGTTCTCCATTGTCAACATTTTTGTTTTATGTCATCTACACTTTTACAGTTCTAGAGTGCATTGAATGAGTCAAACCTATCGGTTTAGATTTTGATTGGTAAATTAAATAGTTTATACTTCTTATTTGTCAAGACGCCGAATAACTTGATGGATGATTTCTTTCTCAGTTCAATGAGCAATGTATACTGTTCAATATCATAGACGAACTGCTAAATAGGTAGAAAGTCATAGAAACTTAGGAGTCACTTTGATAGGTTTAGCCATTTTGGTCCATTTAATCCTATGAGAGTTCTTTGGCATGTGATATAATTGTGGGACATAAATTTGATTTGACTTGTCCTGCATTTGGCACCACACAGGGCTGTTTTTGACAAATCTCAATGTTAATTTAAATCGCAATAAGTTCTATTTCCCTTCACAACCTGCATGACACCTATACATTTGCTAGTGCATAGGCATGCCAATTATCATTTTGACCAAACACAGCCATTTCTTTTCCAAAATTTTCTAGATATGAACTCTATCCGCATTTCTATTCCTTTTAGTTCTCTCTCCTCTTTTCTTATAAATAGTGATTTGAATGTATCTGATTATTTGATCTCTCCCTATGCCAAAGTGTAGTCCTGGATGTACATAATATAGTGTCATTTCTGATTGATTTATCATATTGTGTTTGCAACACCATTTGCGCCATAGAGAAAGTTTCAGAGTGATTCTCCTAAAAATTAGCAAGTATATATAAATGACCTCAAATAAAGTAGGCATTTGCCTTTATTACCAGTCCAACATTGAAAATTAAACCAGCATAATCATTTAACTACTATCTGGCAGTTGCTACATTTATCATTCTCACCATATTTCCAGTGCATTGGCAAACACAAATTACCATTCTATTAGAAACAACCATTTTCCAAAAATTTTCTCTACACTTGCTTGTTCCACTTTTTTCTTACATCAATACATCTGGTTCTATCCTCTTGTTTTATTTATGGATAGTGATTAGCAAAAAATATCTAATTGTTGATCTCTCCCTTTGCCAAACGTAATGCTGGATTTACATATTTCTAATGTCATTTCTCATTGATTAATGGTATCATGTGGAGTTTCAAAGCAATTCTCCTAGATACTGTCAAGGTATATATAAATTACCTCAATAAAGTTTACTTTATTACCAGTCCAACATTGTAAAATGACCACCCGAATAATCTTTTAACTACCAACTGCTAATTGCTACCTACCCCTTAACATGCCAATTTTAAAACCAAAAACTATTGAACAGTAAATTGTTAAAATCTCTCAAGTTTCCTTTGATGTTATGCATTTTCATTTATTTCATCTTGTATGACAAATGAAAATGTTAAAATCTCATCATACGCATATGTATGGTGTTGGGAGGAACAGGCTAGCAGTCAACCAAGTCAAAAGCTGAAAATATTAGGTTTAGGACTACATTTGAACCCAAAATCTTAAACTATTGGCTAATGAGTGCATCCAACGTTGAGTTCTTTACAGTCCTAGTTTTCTTTCAAACTGGGATTTCAAGATTCTCTCATTCACTGCATAAAGATAGGTCTAATAAAACCTTAAGGTGGTTTTTGTAATATGTTCACTATTAAAAGATTGGTAAGTTATAGCTAATATTAAAAAACTGCTCACGTCAGGAGTAATTAATTCCAAATATGAAAGGGGAGCTTTCTTTATATTTACTTCGAACCAAGTCCATTGCATATTTATGCAGTTCCTGTTTAAATGTAGGAAAGTTATGCTTTTGCTAGCTACCGTTTTGTTAACACTCTTTAACGTAGTTATCTCCTCCCTTTTCAACTGCACAACAAAAAGATATATAAAAAAAAAAAGGAAAAAGAAAAAGAAATGAAGCATCTTCATTTTGGTATTTCTAGGTACTACTTACAGACTGATGCTACTTCTATTCATGTTCTTACATATTCATTCTATATTCTTAGTTCTATTATTCAATCATTAGTGCAGCATTCTAGTTCTGTAATCTTTTGATTGAAACCTGCTATCTAAAATTCTGTGATGTTTATGGCATAAATCTGCAGATACTGAAGTTGAGTACGATGAGAACAACTCATGGAAAGAGACTTGCTATACTAAAGGCAAACAAAAAGAAGGCAGCAGTAGCATGATTCCCCTTTCTCCTTTTGGCCTTGCTACTTATAAGATGCAAGGGAATCTTTGGGTAAAACCAGATACATGTGACCCTGAAAGGATGATGAATCTGTATGGTGCTGCAGATTCATGGTTGAAGCAGCTTAATGTCCACCATCATGATTTTAACTTTTTCAGTTTCCACTCTAAAATGTATATTGGTGAGTGTTTATGACTTTTTCGTTTGGGCCTCTTGCATCTTCTGGCAACCACCATCAGAAATTCCCCCTGCTGCAGCTTGGAAGAATATTTAGAAGCTTTGAGCTTTGATGCAATTGCGGTACTGTTGTCTTTTGGATAAGCATGAAGTCATGATGTGTAATATTGTTCAAAGAAATTGCTTGACCAATGGGGCTCCTTCTTGGGGATTTTTGTGGATGGAGTTGTTTTCTTCTTTCTTTTTTAAGTTATTTTTTCTTGTTAGGGACTTAAGGCAGAGAAGTTGGAAATGCAAAGATATGATCAGCATATTTTCCAAAATTTTAAGGCTTTTTGTTTAATTGTGGGTTGGTGACTTTATTAGGGATGGCTTTGTCTGCTAATTGTTTTAATTAAAAAAAAAAATGCTATATCAGTTAATTAGCTTCCTTTGATAGGAAGGAAAATTTTTAATCTAGTAACATGTATTTTTTCGTAGTTCAGTATTTAGATAAAACTGTGTAGTGTTGTTAATTTTAGTGGCTTGAATCAATTTTATGCGTTGGTAATTACATTTAAACATAAACAACTCTACTGGTTTGAATAAACTTGTGTATCTCAATGCTAGATTTGATTCTTTCAATTCTAAAATGATGAGATATATTTTAAAAGAGTTTGGTGTTGATTGCATTTAAACAGAAATTAAAGCAATATGGTGATTGTCAAATAATATCATGCAATTTGTTTCCATAAGATTTAGACTTCCGTTGAGAATTGGAACGGTAACAGAAGGAATAATAGTCAGCTAAAAAAGAATGAGGTATTATTAGATATCATTTTTAAGATAACTGTCGTAATTTAATCATCAATATAATTTTATAATCATTAATTCTAATGATTTAAAAAAATATATTATATTTGGTATTATTAAAAATAAAAAAATATTTTATTTTAAAGTATTAAAATAATTATGGATATTATAATAATTATAAAAGCTAAATGATTTGTCGTTTAAAAAATAATAATAATTTGTAAAATATTAATAATATTTTATGTATTTTACAATAAAACACAATTAAATTATAAGTTAACAAACCTAATTATTAATTGGTAAATTAATTTTTGTAGTATAAATTATGTAAAAAATATTTGAATTAGAAAATAAAACTAATCTATTAAAATCATTATATATATATATATATATATATATCATGTATAAAATTTAAAACATCAAAAGAAAGTCTACAAATTATTTTTGAATTTATTACAATGAATATTAGTTTAAAAATATAAAAAAATTATTAGAAAATAATTACAATTTTGAAAGGAAATAAATTTTTAATTCAAATATTATATGACTTTATTAATTATTATTTAATATATCTATTTACTATGGTGATAAAATTTTTTCACTTTTTTAGATGAAAATTGAATTACTTTTCAAGATAATGATATATGATTACTCTCAATGATTTAAAATCACTGCCATGTAGGATTACTGAGTAGATATCTCATTTTATCTAAAAATTTTTCTAACATCAATGAATTATGATACTAGGTTTCAAAAATATTCAATTAGGTTTTAATTCTAAAATTGGACTTTAAACTCATAATTGAAGGTCAAAAAGTTTTATTTATTTATTTGTTCATTTTTATCTATTTATTATTTATTAGAAAAAATCAAACATAAATGTTGATTTTTTAAAGATCGTGATTGAAATTTAAAAGTTGAGTTTGACTTTGATAATTTTTTAGAATTAAGTTTCCATAAGAAAGAAAATTTATCAAATCTTTACAGATTCAGTTGATATTAAGATTTTCCAAGTTGAATGAGGACCTTGATCCTTATAAAAAAAAAAAAAAAACCTGAAATACATAGTAACAATCAATAAGTAAAAAGTAAGAAGCAATAATTAGCAAGCAATAAAGTAATATACAACAATAACAACAAATTAAGTATCCCATAACTCTTAGGTCGATTAGATGAAAGGCAAAAAGAAAAGAATCATATTAGGTTGTAGTTTTAAATCTTTTTCTATCATTCATTTCTATTAACAAGAACCCTTTCATCTATTTCCTTAACATTATATTATTTTTTATTACTTGTATCCACATCTTTTGTAGTCTACCTCTATAAGTTTTGTTATCTCCTAAATCTAGAAACTCATTTCTCCTAACTGGAGCACGGATAGACTAATGTTTTACATGTCCAAACCATCTCAAATGACCCTCTCTCATCTTTTTTTTAATTTTATCTAACCTTAAATTTTTTTTGAATCTCTTTATTTCTGTTGTCTCTTCTAGTCTTACCATACATCCATGTAAGCATTCTCATCTTAGCTAATTCATTTTCTTCTCATGTTGTTTTTTTACAATCCAACACTTCGTTTCATATAGCAATGCAGGCTTACAGTTGTTTTATACGACTTTGCCTTTACCTTTAATTTTAAAGGCATGTTGCAATCATATAACAAACTTGACGCATTTTGATACCTCAACCATCTTGCTTCAATCTTATGATTTACATTCCTTTCTATGTCAATATTGCTTTGAATAATTGATCTTGAATATTGAAAATGACTACTCTTTGGTACTACCTCACTATCCAACTTAATCACACTAGTATTCGCTTCCCTATGATTCTTAAACTTACAAGCAATCAAGCAATATACAAAGAGAAAATTACATAGCTATCAACAACTAACATTAAGCAAAAGTAGTGTAACACCTAATTTTGTCCTGACAAAATTCAACCACTTATGAAGCTTTTAAAGTCTAACCTGTTTCAAATCCAACAGTTTTTTAATTTTCACAAGTCTCTAAAATAAAAATTTGAACCAATTTGATCTATACTCCTTAAGGTCAAATCTAGTCAAACCTAGTTAAACAAAATCAAATCAGTTAAATTGAATGGAACTCCTTTAATTTTCACAAGTCTCTAAAATCAAAATTTGGACCAATTTGATCCATACAGTCTAAGGTCAAACCTAATCAAACCTGATAAAAAAAATCAAAATCAAATGGAACTTAAGATAATTTTCAAAATTCACAACCAAATTGGAACCAATACGACTTGGAATTGAGATTTGTGGTTTTAAAGCAATGATAAAACCATATTGCACTTTGGGAAAGGTAAAATTACCGAAATGCTTTTTAGGGGTATTTTCGTGATTTGACCTTTTTGAAGTTGAATTTTTGTGAAAACTTTCATATCATAATTATATATGATTTAATGATTTTTAATGCATTAAAAACCTTGATCACACTTTGGGATGAGTGAAATTACAAAAATATGGTATTTTTATAATTTCACTTTTCTAAGGTCAAAATTTTGTGAAAAGTTTCAGATCATGATTTAATATTATTTGATGATTTTTAGAATATCGAAAACCCTGATCGCACATCAAAAGGTGTAAAATTACCAAACTACCTCTTAGGGTAGTTTCGTAAATTGACCTTCTCGAACTTTGTTTTTTGCAAAATGTTTTAGATCATATTTTTAAATTATTTAATAATTTTTGGTGCAATAAAAACCTTGGTTGCGCCTTAGGAGGTAAAAAATTACCAAAATATCACTTAAGGATAAATTTGTAATTTGGCCTTCCCGAAGTCAAATTTTTATGAAAATTTTCAAATCTTAAGTTCATATTATTTAAAGATTTTTGGTGTTTTAAAATTGCAAAAATGACGAAGGCAACATTGTTTTCCAAGAATATGGCTTAGAAACTGAAAACTTTCTAATGGAAGTAAATTAGTCCTTTCACATAGTTCTAGCAACATTAAAAATCAAAATTTTGGCAGTGAGAATTCTCAATCATAGGATCTTGAAGGGCTGGATTCAATGGTGAAAGTGGCTCATTGCAAAGAAAATGAGGGAGAAATATTAACCATTAGATGAAGTTTTGATCTAGGGCTATTAGTCATTTACATGGGATATTTCTTCCACCATTTACAAGGCTGGAGGGATAGGTTGGAAATGGAGGATCTAGAAGAACATAGAAAAACAGTGAAAAAAAATTGAAGAAAGCTTGGAGAAGGTATAATTCCTAGTTTCCTTTCTTGCATTTCATTGTATTTCTTCACATTTTCATAACATTTTCATTTTGGTTTTCCTATTTTTTTTATATTCTTGAAAAAATTTATAGTTTTTTTTTTTTTATCTCTTTTAATCTAATTTTGGTTCAACAATTCATCCAACTAAAAAAATAGTTTGCATTGAACTCAATAGGATCAAGTAATACAAAACATAAAATCCATGATTTGGCTTTTTGAGGTTTAACCAATATTGCTTCTTCCATGGTCGAACCTTCTTTGGTCCATTTCTAGTGGTTTTCTTGATTCCAAGTAATGTATATGATGATTAGCTTGTTAGTTTATTGTTATTTATGTGAGTTTTAGTTAGTTTGTGATGTATGTTTGGTTTTTGGTTAATGTTCTTGTTTTATGGCTTTCTCACTATTCTAGTTGGTTACATGTTTGATGAAATTCCTCTTAGGATTAAAATGCCTTTACATGATGAATGCCTTAAAGTTTAATGCATGTTTGGGTTAAATGGAATGAAAATATGATTGTGGGAGACCATGGGAGCATTTGACCAAGCCTTCCATCCTTGAGCCGAATCTCTCTTTTGCTTCATGGCAAAATCTTAGCATATTCATCACTAGTTGCTTGTGTGCTTGCATGATTCTTTAAGTTTTTAATGTGTTTGATTAAGTTTCCTATGAATAAAATGTTAATTTAGTAGATTGTTTAATGATTTTTGTGCTTATTTGCTTGAATTTCAAAAGAAAATTGGTGGAACATGTCTTGAAAGTTAAAAAAAAATTGTGTTTGATCTATTTACATCATGTTTTTACATACACATTTAGTTTGTAACATAGTTTTTTAAATGCCTAGATTTGTAATTAATTTGTTTCTTAGTCATGCATTTTTCATGTATCAATATTTATAGTTTTACCAGAGGCATTTTCATTATTTGTCACATGCATCAATATTTATATTCTTACTAAGGGCATTTTTGTTATTTATTTCTATCATATACATTTCCAACGAAACCCCAAATTCCAAACCCTATACCACCCATGAAACCCTATACCACCCATGAAACCCTAAACCACCCTTAAAACCCTAAACTAATGAGGAAATCCTAAACCACCCTACAAACTTTAAACCACTCCTGAAACCTTAAATCACCCATGAAGCCCTAAGCCACCTTAAACCCTAAAACCTAACCTAAACCAAAACTTAAACCCCAAAACAACCATAAACTTTAACCTAAACCCTAAACCTAAAACTTGA